ATGAGAACACAACTGTGCCGTCGGGATCAAGTGCACGATAAGACCCACCTTGCAAGCCATCTCCCCAAATGTCTAACACGACAAAATTGCATTTGCTACCATATGGCAAACACACTTGGGTGGAGGTCAAATTCTTTTGGCCCTCAAATTCGGGACTACTCGCCAGCGCGATCTCTCCGCCGCTGTCATCCTCCTTCACAATGTACCATGCAGTATCTTTTGGATAGTCGTCTGTGGTAAACTCAATRGTATAGTTCGCACAAGGCAAGTCCTCCACGATATCTCTATTTTGGATGTCGATAACTTCTRCGATTGCATCCCGAAGGCCATTTTTGAGCCCTGAGAACCGAATTTCAACATCGCGRTCATCATTGAACATTTCGATTGTGTACGACTGTCCCGGAAATAGGCTTGCAACCTTTGTCGACTTACCGTCGCTTTCCTTGCGGACGATAGTGATCCTGTCGCCATCCTCCATGGTGTCTTTGTTMATTCCATSCTGGCGATTGTACCCGATGTAATAGTCTAGAAGTGCGGTTTGCTCAAGTCTTAGTACGATGAGTGAGGTCTTTTCCAGATCGTAGTCGGCAACACCATTGAAAACAAAGCTACGAACGGGGCCCAACTCAACCCCGAGAGGATCGATCGTGTCAACTTGATCATCGTACCAACCTAGCTGATAGCTTTTGGCTGGATTGTAACATAGTCTTTGGTCATCCTCCATGTTGGAAGATCCCATGGCGCCACTCTTGTCTCCCCACTTCTTCAACGTGCCGTCCATGATAKATCCGGAAGGAGCGAGATTCATKTTCATTCCAACTAGAAGGGCATAGAGAGAGGAAATGATGAGAATGAATATACGAAGTCACTCGACGTCACTAAAATATGATTTGTGCTACAGAACGGAAAAAGAACCTTCTCATACTTATTGCAACATACCTGATTGAAGTTGTGACGAAACCGATGAACAAGATTCATCGTTATAGAAAGAACTTTTCTTTGGGTAGGCTATGTTCARCCATTCATTTCCTTTCTCATACGTTCCCGGGGGCATGCAATACATGATGAGATYGTACTTGTCATTCGTTTCCAAGTTTCCTAGCTTTGCAGTAGCAGCAGTCATTGCAGCGCCTCTGAGATCACCGGCATTGTTGTTGATGGAGATTTGGTGGTCGACCGTGACCTCGACTACCCCGTTCGTAATGGATACGTTAGTGTCGGTAAGTCCCGAAAAGGGCTCGATCTTGAGTTTCTGATAGGAGCAAGCCTCGATTTGAGATTTGAGGCAAGCGTCGTCCTCAAAGATATCGTTCACTAGTTGCTCGACATCGGCCTTCGGTGCAATYCCATCGGCGTCAACGATACGAATTACGAGGGTCTTCAAGGTTCCAATTGTCTGGACTAGATTCCTTCTGGAAGTTGAGGGAAGCGTTTCTGTTTCCACGACAGCGCCTGTGCTGGAGGAAGCTGCGATCGCCAGCATAGCAAGCGAATGCAGCACGGACAAGGGTGCTTTTCCTTTCATCTTCTCGTTCGTTGATGACGTTGTCTACGAATTTTATGAATTCAGTGAGTGAAAAAGAAAAATACTTTTTTGTCGCGGATGGAACCGTGTCTTTGTGGTCGTCGTAAGGTTGGTTTGATAATTTTCCTGACGCTTCTTCAAAGAGAACCCGCTTTTTAAAAGAAAGAGGGCACTACTACTTTTGTCATCCTTGGAACTTTCTTAATCATGACATTGAACGACCTGACAAAGCAAAAACTTTATCATAGTTTTGTACACGGAAAGAACTTGGTCCCGAAACAATACCATGAGAAATATTTTTTTACGTATTCAATACCGTTACGTAATTACGTAATTCTCCTTCAAGGTGTATTCGTATTTTTCTTAGTACCGCTTATAGAAAAAATCACAGACAAAATGAGACCAAATCTAAAGTGTCAGATGTCACAAAAAATATAAGAATGCTATTTATAAACAATCACGATAAATTTCTGAAAAATATCATATTCATTGTCAATTTACTCACAATAGCTTTTTCGATGGGAATGTCAGGGCAATATTAATTGACCGGAGATTGTACTATAAATGAATAGTTCTTTAATCAATTTGTACGATCGGACGATAGGATTATTTCGCTTGAAAATAATTTATTGACAATAATATTAAAGATTTTGCAAATACGTTCTCCTCAAATACTGCATGAGATTACTTGAATATTGATAGTACCCAGTAGCCTTGTCGCCGAAAATTAAACTGTCTTGATAATTCTTTTGAAATATGAGGGGTGATGTTGATATTTTGTTTAACGAAATGAATTTCGAAGAACAAAAAATGAACCTCAACGAAGTATTCAATATTATTAATGACTTCGTACGAGTGACTATCTGTACTTGGTTTTTTTGGCGACCCAACTACTCTTCACATTGCACTCTCCCACTCGATCGTTCGAAACAGGGGGTCTCACGTGTTGCTTAGTTGATAGTAAAATCCACATATGGTACCCTGGTAGGCTCCGATATTATTTTCAAAATATCAGGATACTACGRTATGTCAAGAACGAATTCGAACAATTTCTGTAGTAGACAACRGGRGTGCTACGGTAAACGATGACCACAAACTTGCACGCGTCTGTTGGTGGCGCAAGAAAACACAGACCAGCTCGATCGCTCCACGGATTGCAGCTTCGGTCCTACACGACGACGAGMTCGATCTCNACTTCGAAGGACTCGATTTTGCGTTTGAATTGAACGCGACCCTCGTATGAGAACACAACTGTGCCGTCGGGATCAAGTGCACGATAAGACCCACCTTGCAAGCCATCTCCCCAAATGTCTAACACGACAAAATTGCATTTGCTACCATATGGCAAACACACTTGGGTGGAGGTCAAATTCTTTTGGCCCTCAAATTCGGGACTACTCGCCAGCGCGATCTCTCCGCCGCTGTCATCCTCCTTCACAATGTACCATGCAGTATCTTTTGGATAGTCGTCTGTGGTAAACTCAATRGTATAGTTCGCACAAGGCAAGTCCTCCACGATATCTCTATTTTGGATGTCGATAACTTCTRCGATTGCATCCCGAAGGCCATTTTTGAGCCCTGAGAACCGAATTTCAACATCGCGRTCATCATTGAACATTTCGATTGTGTACGACTGTCCCGGAAATAGGCTTGCAACCTTTGTCGACTTACCGTCGCTTTCCTTGCGGACGATAGTGATCCTGTCGCCATCCTCCATGGTGTCTTTGTTAATTCCATGCTGGCGATTGTACCCGATGTAATAGTCTAGAAGTGCGGTTTGCTCAAGTCTTAGTACGATGAGTGAGGTCTTTTCCAGATCGTAGTCGGCAACACCATTGAAAACAAAGCTACGAACGGGGCCCAACTCAACCCCGAGAGGATCGATCGTGTCAACTTGATCATCGTACCAACCTAGCTGATAGCTTTTGGCTGGATTGTAACATAGTCTTTGGTCATCCTCCATGTTGGAAGATCCCATGGCGCCACTCTTGTCTCCCCACTTCTTCAACGTGCCGTCCATGATAKATCCGGAAGGAGCGAGATTCATKTTCATTCCAACTAGAAGGGCATAGAGAGAGGAAATGATGAGAATGAATATACGAAGTCACTCGACGTCACTAAAATATGATTTGTGCTACAGAACGGAAAAAGAACCTTCTCATACTTATTGCAACATACCTGATTGAAGTTGTGACGAAACCGATGAACAAGATTCATCGTTATAGAAAGAACTTTTCTTTGGGTAGGCTATGTTCARCCATTCATTTCCTTTCTCATACGTTCCCGGGGGCATGCAATACATGATGAGATYGTACTTGTCATTCGTTTCCAAGTTTCCTAGCTTTGCAGTAGCAGCAGTCATTGCAGCGCCTCTGAGATCACCGGCATTGTTGTTGATGGAGATTTGGTGGTCGACCGTGACCTCGACTACCCCGTTCGTAATGGATACGTTAGTGTCGGTAAGTCCCGAAAAGGGCTCGATCTTGAGTTTCTGATAGGAGCAAGCCTCGATTTGAGATTTGAGGCAAGCGTCGTCCTCAAAGATATCGTTCACTAGTTGCTCGACATCGGCCTTCGGTGCAATYCCATCGGCGTCAACGATACGAATTACGAGGGTCTTCAAGGTTCCAATTGTCTGGACTAGATTCCTTCTGGAAGTTGAGGGAAGCGTTTCTGTTTCCACGACAGCGCCTGTGCTGGAGGAAGCTGCGATCGCCAGCATAGCAAGCGAATGCAGCACGGACAAGGGTGCTTTTCCTTTCATCTTCTCGTTCGTTGATGACGTTGTCTACGAATTTTRTGAATTCAGTGAGTGAAAAAGAAAAATACTTTTTTGTCGCGGATGGAACCGTGTCTTTGTGGTCGTCGTAAGGTTGGTTTGATAATTTTCCTGACGCTTCTTCAAAGAGAACCCGCTTTTTAAAAGAAAGAGGGCACTACTACTTTTGTCATCCTTGGAACTTTCTTAATCATGACATTGAACGACCTGACAAAGCAAAAACTTTATCATAGTTTTGTACACGGAAAGAACTTGGTCCCGAAACAATACCATGAGAAATATTTTTTTACGTATTCAATACCGTTACGTAATTACGTAATTCTCCTTCAAGGTGTATTCGTATTTTTCTTMGTACCGCTTATAGAAAAAATCACAGACAAAATGAGACCAAATCTAAAGTGTCAGATGTCACAAAAAATATAAGAATGCTATTTATAAACAATCACGATAAATTTCTGAAAAATATCATATTCATTGTCAATTTACTCACAATAGCTTTTTCGATGGGAATGTCAGGGCAATATTAATTGACCGGAGATTGTACTATAAATGAATAGTTCTTTAATCAATTTGTACGATCGAACGATAGGATTATTTCGCTTGAAAATAATTTATTGACAATAATATTAAAGATTTTGCAAATACGTTCTCCTCAAATACTGCATGAGATTACTTGAATATTGATAGTACCCAGTAGCCTTGTCGCCGAAAATTAAACTGTCTTGATAATTTTATTGAAATATGAGGGGTGATGTTGATATTTTGTTTAACGAAATGAATTTCGAAGAACAAAAAATGAACCTYAACGAAGTATTCAATATTATTAATGACTTCGTACGAGTGACTATCTGTACTTGGTTTTTTTTTGGCGACCCAACTACTCTTCACATTGCACTCTCCCACTCGATCGTTCGAAACAGGGGGTCTCACGTGTTGCTTAGTTGATAGTAAAATCCACATATGGTACCCTGGTAGGCTCCGATATTATTTTCAAAATATCAGGATACTACGRTATGTCAAGAACGAATTCGAACAATTTCTGTAGTAGACAACRGGRGTGCTACGGTAAACGATGACCACAAACTTGCACGCGTCTGTTGGTGGCGCAAGAAAACACAGACCAGCTCGATCGCTCCACGGATTGCAGCTTCGGTCCTACACGACGACGAGMTCGATCTCGTTCTCGTTTGCGGRGGCAAGAACCGATCGGTGCCCCCCCCGGCCCCCGTGGCTCGTTCGGGCAAGGCTCTCCCGTACGGCCCGCACCAGGTTCGTCGGCCCGCACACCATTACCCTCGTGMGCAAGGCCCGCGGGCCGTCGCCGCGGCTTCCGCCTTCCCCCGCGTCGCAGATCGCCTCTGCCAGCGCGGAGGCGAGGTCGGGGGGCCGGCCAAACCGGACCGACGCCAGTTCCGAAAGGGGAGGCCCCCCCGGTGTGCGGTGCCCCGCCGGCGGCTCCCGATGCGACGCCGCGGTGGGCGTGCTTCCGGAGTGGGGTTCCCCACCGTGGTCCGCGCTGGCACCGGCTGCCACCTCCCGCAACGACCGGTAGCGAACCCGCCGCAAGAACCAGCGAGAACACCACCGGTCCCTCYCTGCCAGCAAACCCAGGAACGCCCGTGCCAGCAGCGGGGCCAGCAGAACCACCAGCAGCACCGGGAGGCCCCGAAAACAGAGGTGGCAGACAAGGATCCCGCAGCACGGGRCCCCTTCCCCGGAGGAGCCCGCGGAGATCTCCTCCCGGGTGTCGCACACCCTGCAAGGAGTGGCGTTGGTGTCGCATGCGGGGCCGCAGGTCCTTCCCCYGGAGGAGGGATCGGACCGGTAGCAGCAGRGCTGYCTCGCCACCAAAAASGCAACGGCCATGGACCCTGCCGCCACCACCGTCACCAGCACGGCGGACAACGRRCGGCCGGAAGCGGCCCCGGAGTCGCCCTGGATTTCCGGGGCCTCCTCGTCGTCCAGMGACCACGCATCGAACCCGGAAAGGCCCGATTCGCCGTCGTCGTCGCCGGTCACAAAGACRCGAAAGGGCGGGCTTGTTCCGGCGGGCRTCCCGGCCCACGACGCCCGAAACCTCTGGTTCCACAGCAGGTCGGCCCCGAGGGCCCCTGCCTCGTCGCCGGTGCGGACCAGCCAGAGCACGGCGAGGGGAATCCCCTCCTCCGCGCACGCCTGGATGGCCTCGGACACCCCCGTCAGGCCGACCCCGCCGGCCACAAAGACGTAGCGGCAAGGCCGTTTCAGCGGGTCCTTCGGCGGGCCCAGGTCCGGTCCGTAGGGGCCCTCCATCTCGAGGCCCGCGGTGRACGAGGCCGTTCCGTTTCGCTCTCCACCGTTCTCGTTGTGGTTCTCGTTGCCCGCGGCGATCGACCCCCACTTGTCGACCAGGCCCGCCGTCCAGTCTCCCAGTTCCTTGGCGTGGACCGAAATGATCCGTCGCCGGTGGTCGATGGCCGACACCGTGAACGGGTGCCACTCCCCGGGCGAGATGTCTCTGTCCCTCAGGTACAAGTGGCTGCCGGGGAACAGCCGCCCCTCCTCGAACCAGGACGGYGGGGGGCGAATCGTGAACCGGACCACCCGGGTGTTTCCGCGGGCCTCCGCGCCCTGGAGCACCACGGGGTGGCGCAGGGCGAAGGACCGCAGCAATTTGTCCACCTGGCACGGCAACAAACGAGGCAAAGGCGTTAGGTTTCTTCGCAATGGCAATCCAGCAAGCAAGCAAGCAAACAACCAATCCAGCAACGGCAAACACGCAGCGGCAGGCAAGCAAGAAGAAACCCAACGTTCCACCGTCCCTTCCCAGCAAGCACGCACCAGAAACGAGAGCAGCCCCGGCCAGGCAAACAAAAGGGTGTTGTAGTCGTGGAGGTTGGACCACAACACAAAGCCCAGGGCGCAGCCCGCGTGGCCCATCTTGAACCACCGCTCGTAGGATCGCCTCCGGACGGCCGGGAGGGAGGTCGCCCACAGCCCCAGCAAACACAGAGAGGCCGCCCACCCCGCGCCGTTGACGGCTCCCTCGGTGTAGAAAGGGGTGAGCGGGAGAAACTCCCAGGCGAGGGTCCGAAGCGATCCCCTTGCCCGGACCGCGTAGGCCGCCGACAGCAGCAAGGCGTGGGCGGCGAGCCAGGCGGCGATCGAGGYCGAGGCCCCCGTGTGGAGGYCGGCCAGGTGGGTCCGGGTGGAAAGCCCGCCCGGGCCGGAGCAGCAGTAGTATTCCACGAGGCGGTGGGCCCGCTGGACCGGGAGGAGGACGACCGCCAGGTTCCACATCGCGGGCCACGCGGCCTTCCCACCGAGGTATCCGAGGACGTCCGCCAGCACCAGGAGCCGCTTGTGCGGTTCGTCGTCCCCCCGGTCCCCGCCGCTCCCGCTCGTGTCCCAGTACTTCGACACGGCTCCCGGGCCCCTCCACAGGCACGGGCTCAGCAGGGCGGAAGAGAACCAGAGCCAGTCGAGGAGGGAGCGGCCGGCCGCAAGGGAGGGCCCGGTGCCCGGGCCTTCCCGCAGGATGCCCTCCCGCTCAAGGGGCCCGTCCCCGTCCGACTCTCGGCGCTCGCTGCGGCGGTTGCGGGCCCTTTGCTCCGCCAAGGCGTGGGGCAGCAGGACCAGGAGGGAARAGGCCCCGATCCAGGCCCACTCGGCGACCGTCGTGCAGCTGGACCGGAGGAACCCGTGGCTTCCCACGTACAGGAGGTTGGAAAAGCCCGGGAGCAGGAGAAAGACCACGCTCCAGGAGGCCAACCAAACGCCGGGGGGCGGTGGCCGGGGGCAGCGGATTGCCGCGGGTCCATGGCGGAGGCACTCCATCATCGCTTTTGGTGTCCTTGTTGTTTCCGGCAAGACTTTGGTTCGATTCGATCCGATCCGATCCGATGCGATCCGATGCGATCCGATTCGGTTTGGCTCAGGCCGTGGCTCGCAACCAAAGCACGGGCGTGTTTTCTCCGGCGTCTCTTGCAGCAACAGCAACAACAGCGGCTCGGCACCGCTCTTGGTGGATTGTGGGGAGCATCGCTCTGCGGGAGACGGCTGGTGTGGCCCGACCCGGCAATCCTACGGTACGGTGGGGGAGAACGAGGGCCCGGAACCAACMCAAGCGCAAGCGCAAATTCCCGCAACGGACCGACGGTTTCGACGTCGAAAAAGGCCTTGAACGAACATGTTTCTTTTGTTGTGGCACGGGACCTGTCGGTATTGTATTGTAGTACTGTCCCTCTACGTTAGTGTACAATTATTGCTTCCTGTACCATACCARCTGCTATTCCTACCGGACTTGTACTAGCGTTGGGAATAGGACGCGAGTTCGAACATCGCTCCACGCACGATTTTGTCTCTACCGGTAGGTACACTTCGCGCAACATACCCCCTTATCATAACCAACGGTCCGTACCGGTACGCTTGTTGTCCGCAGAAAAAGTACGCCATATCGTACAAGAAGGCCTCGGCTTCGGGAAAAATGGCCTTAAAAATTCTGGGCGCGCTCGCGACCATAAAAAAATATATCGTGTCACGGTCTCTATGGTAAGTACCGTACGGTACCGTACGAGGTAAACTGTGACGGGGTCGTTGCTTGGGTCCCAATTCCTAATGCCATGGGACCAAAACGAGAAGCGACCGATTTRTGGTACGTACGTACGCACCGTAGGAACTAAAAGTATCACACCTTGGTGCATGGTTCGGTTCTAGATTCTAGATTGGGTACCGTACGACTTACGTACGTACGAGCGTAGTACAATGTGTACATACGGGGGACGGGAGGTCCGCCACTGCTGCGCATCACCTCCGCTAAGATGAGGTCCAGGCCAGGGTCGGGTGCACCTCCCGAGAAACTATGAGCAGGAGTACGAGTATGAGCGCCGAGATCTTTCAGGAAAGACAAGTTCTGGTAGGACTCTACGGGTATTTCGAACGTGGGGTTCCAACCGCGCGAGCAATCGAGATCTGACGCATCGTTCGATATCACGTAGTACCTGGTACGAACCGTAGAAGGAAAGTACTTTACTTCGTACATAATTTTAACAGTACTGTGATGTGTGTAGATAGCAGCGTATACGTTAATAGTATGTACCGGTACTCGTACCATTGATTTCCGTTCAAGATTTCAAATCAAAAACCGCACCAACACTCCGAAATATCCAACGAAGATCGATCGGAGACCAAAAAATAACGCTCGGGATATCAAGAAGAGAATACAGTACGAACCCCAAGCAACGTCCCGTACGAACCCGTACGGGGAAAGGTCACAAATTGCTTTCTGAAGACTGCAACACTTTGTTTCGCAAGAATCGACGATCCAAGGATCTCTCCTTCCCTCCCTCCAACTACCCACCAACCCAGGTAAGTCCGATACGAGTACAAACCGCACGCAAACCCYTCTCGAACCATTTTCATCATTGTCCTTCTTTTGCGACGCACCGCACAAAACCCACAATCCACAACCATCCGMCSTCGATACTTTCCAACCCCCAACCAAAATGGCATCCCCCGAACCAGAATCCAAGAAACAAAAGTAGGTGGAACGGCTTGAGGAATCGGGTCGGTGCCGTATCGTGCGGATTCCGGTCGAGCGATCTGCACCGATGGCTTCGGCCCCGGTGGCGGTGTCGAAGCGTGTACACCATTGGTTATAAATCACCCACTCACTCCAAAACCACAATGTTTTTGCAATCCAACTCTCTCCAATACGTAACGTAACGCAACGCAACGCAACGGAAACAAATCCAACCCAATCCAATCCAATCCGATCAAACGAAACGAAACAAACCAGAACCTCCAGCATGGTAACGATTACGGAAGGCGTCGAATTCGACACCATCGCCCGCGAGTGGCGCTGCAAGTGGTCCGCYGACAACGACAAGAAGAGCCTGGCCGAGCTCCAGAAGGTCCTGGACGAGACCAAGGCCGACATCAAGGCCGTCGAGGGCGTCAAGAGCGTCCAGCGCATCGTCTGCGGGGGCTGCCTCGATTTCAAGGTCGTCGTCGCCCTCCCGGAACCCAAGTACGGCGACTGGGAAAAGGGAGGGCACGCACCRGAGGAAGCCTTCCTGGAAAAAATCAAAAAGATCGACGGGGTCTCGGCGGTCGAGACCCAGACCTACACCCTCATGCCCGTCGAGCTCTAATAGGAGAACGAACGGTCGGCGCGGGGAGAACCAGGGCGGCAACCACGGGGCGGGCAACGAACGAGGCGTTACCGGCTAGGCTTTTCCTTTCGTTTGGGCCGCCGAATCCATTTTTGGGATTCCAACGAGTCTCTTGATGTTGATATTCTAGTAGGCTAAACAAGATTTCGTTCGAAACAAAATGATATACAACTAGTAGAAACCATCATAGGGAGTTTGCTTCCCTACATGTTTGACACCTTGTTGAATGCCTGCGCGTCCAGGGACGCCGATTTTTCGATCGCTTCCAGGGAGTGCTGGTCTTCTCCGTTCAATCGCAATCTCTTGTCGTGGTACGCCAAGAGACTTGGTCGGTGGCCAACGCTGATGTAGCTCAAGCCGGGAGCGGTCATTTCACCGTTCTTYAGAAGATGCTTTCGTCCCATGCCTTGCAACAAGTTGTACATGCGAGCCTCGGCCACCATGTCTGTTATCATGCGAATCGTTTAGTTTTTAGAACCAAGAACGCAAGCAAGTCGTCAGGCAAACATCATTCAAACGTCAAGGCAACGGTCAASAGACGCGTTATGGACCAAACGAAAGCTGCCGTGGTGTGATACGTACCTAACGCAGAAGTGGCTTCGTCCAAGACAACTAGCTTCGGTTGGTTGACAAGCACCCTTCCAAAGGCCAATCGCTGTTGTTCTCCCAGCGACAAGGTATTCGACCAATCCAACACGGTTTCCAGACCTTTGAAGGGATCRCCATCTCCCGAACGCTTGGCGAGTTCTCCAAGATCAACCTTCTCCAAAACGTCCAGCAGATCTTGATCGCTCAACGATCTGTTGACAACGTGTCGCGGAGTACCGTTCCCGTCTGTATCCGTGCTGTTGYCCTTGGTTCCCTCGTCTTCCTGCTGCTGCTCCAAGCTCGGATACAGGAGTTGATCCCTTAGGGATCCCACCGTACAGTAGGGGCGCTGCGGCAAAAAGTAAACGTCTTCGTCCCCGGGACGCGTGATGCTGCCACTGCCGGCCGTCCAGAGACCGGCGACCGCTCGCAGGAGACTCGACTTTCCGGCCCCGGAATTTCCGACGATGAGCAGGTTTTCTCCCTCTTGTACGTCCATCGAGAGATCCCGAATCAGGGTTCGCTTTCGGTCGGGAGTGAACAGGTCGAGGTCTTTCATGGATACCAGCGGCGCAGTAGACGGAAGCCGATAGGACTCTCCRTCGTAGAGCGATGGTGGCGAGCGAATCAACTCGATGGAGCCGAGATCCGTTGTTCCCTTGACGCCATTGCTGTCGACCGCTCCGTTCGTTGCGGTATCTGTCGCGGTTGTGTTTGCGTTCGCAGCTTCGGTAGTGTTTGCCAGTTTCATCAGCGACGACTTGTCTTTCGAGTCGTTCGGCATCATTCGGCGCTCTGGATCGGCTTCCTGCATGGCCTCCAAGAAGACCGACAACCGATCGATGCCGGCCGAAAAGCGCGAGAGCTGTTCGAATTGATTCACGATAATGCTGAGATCGTTCAGAATGTGGTTGAAGGCACCAACCGACTGGCTGATGACTCCCAATTCGATGGCTCCGGCAAAGTACCTCGGAGCTACCACTGTYACAGGCAAGAGCTGAATCAAGAATCGGTAACCATTTGTGAAAAACTCTAGATTACGTTGGGTGGCAATAAGCTCTCGTGTGTTGCCCACAACACTCTGCAGACGCTCCCCAACCACTTTCCCCTCGAGATCTTCACCGGCGTAAAAGGCGATGGATTCCGCGTTTTCCCTCCATCTCACGAGAGAAAAGCGGAAGTTGGCCTCCTTCGTGAGCTGTTCGTAATTGAGACGCACCAAATCTTTTCCGAGCCACGTCGTTGTAATGGTTCCGAACGATGCATAAGCCACGATTGCKATGAAGAGTTGCGGGTAGATGGAGTACAGGATCAATGAAAACGAAACCAAATCGATGACAGTCGAAATGATAGTCAAAAAGAGTTGCAAAGAAAACGAYGTAAAGGATTGCACGTCTTCGCAGATGCGTTGATCGGGATTGTCGACCTCTCCCCCTCGTTCAATAACATAATAGACTCGGTTGTCTTCGTAGAGCTGCAGGGTTCGATTGGTCATCCATTCTCTCCAGTGCACGGCTAATCGTTCTCGCTGAAATTTATAAAGAGTCACGATGGGCGCACCGACCAGCAGGGCCCCCAGGTACTTTCCGAGCACGTTGTAAAAATCAACGGTGTTCTTGCTGCTCAACGCGTTCCAAAAGTCTTTTCCAATGTAAGAAAATCCGACGGATACGCCAGAGTTTAAAAGAGTGAGACCAATCATTCCCGCAAAGAGCCATCGGCCGGCGTTTGATTCTTCGAAGTAGGGATAGGCCATGTTCCAAAAAAGTTTGCTCTGTTTCGAGATTTTCTTCCAATCCAACTGCTGCTGCTGTTGTTGTTGTTTCTCTTTCTCCACCTGTCCACTTTCCGCTTGCGAAAAAAGGGCAGTCCGGTGCGTCTTTGCACCTGCAGTGTTTGGTGTTATTCTTCCTTTTGTTGGCGCTACTACTGACGTTAACGGGCTCATAAACGACGTTGCTTGMACCTCGCGGATCCCTGACGAAGAAAATGCAAATGCACACGTGAAGGCAATGTTATAGGAGCTGAACAGGCCCAGGCCAATTGCAAACAACATGGCAGAAGCCAAGCTTCTTCTTGGACTACTKTTTCTGACGCCTCGGCGACGAGACTCTGTGAAGGACATGGCGCCTTTGGGTACGGTTGTTGTTGTCGTCGTCGATCTGGTCGTTCGATTGTTCAAATACCGTACTTCGATTTGAACAATGTTAGTGAAGCTTGTGTTGACATGAACAGTTTTAAGGTAAAATCATTAGGCATTCAATTTAGAAAACGTTACTTCTGTGTCGCAACTTCTCCAAAGCWGTCGAAGACAGAATTGGATCCGCCGTGAGGAGTGTTGTCTCAATGAGGTGTTTTCTTTTTTAAGGTATCAGTACTACAACACGCACGGGACTCATGCCAATCGTAATCCATGGTTTCTGAGTCGAGTCAGTCAATCTCCACGAACGGTGTACGTAGTGGAACCAGTACTGCTGGTAGCTAGTACTACTACTAGTAGTTGTTAGTAGTACAAAACTACTAGTAACCGATGCTGTATGCTGCTCATCCATCATCCTTGTCATTCAGTACCCTACAACCAGAACCAATCATCATGGTACGGTGGGAAACTCCCCATGCCCTGTTCTGCTGGTAAGTATTAGTACTAGTACTTGCACTAGTAGTAGGAGGGACTGGTGGTGGGGAACACCGGGCTCTTCTTGTTGTTGTTGTTGAAAAGAAGAAGAAGAGGTAAGAGAATGGTGGTGGCAATGGTGGTCGGCTTGAACAACTCYTGGCTTTCTTAATAGATTTTGAAATGACAAACAATTGATGTAGAAGCTATCCACGAAGCGAATGGTCGTGTTCAGTTTGTCGATGATTGATTTGATTCAAACATTCTTCTATTATTCTCCTCCTTGAGTCAACCTGCAAAATAGATGCACGAAGAAAATTTGCYTATATTGTTTGTATCGGTGATAATAGTAGCTCCGCGCTGGGGCTCCCCCCCCTTCTTTTTTTCATATTCGCAAAATCATTCGTAGATTTAAATACTTCTTCAGATAGCGACGCATGTTGCAAATCGCTATCCCATCTTCGAGCATTGTTATCGTCGTCGTCGACACCGTTCCATATTTGCAAGGAGGAAAATTGTTGGCTGGTATTTTTTCTGTGCGGACGTCTCGTCCTTGCTGATATTGCCTGAATATTGGCCGGACCTTCCATGATRTCGGTGAAATCAACCGTTTCGTTTTCGTCAAAGGCAAATCGGCGCGCGACTCTTTTGTAATTTACCCATATAGTCTTGCAGGTATAGAGTACAATCGCCATGCACAGAAGAGCGGCCTCCCAGTGCAGGATCAACCAGACACAAATTGTGACGCTCCCAACCGTTGAGGCTAACCCAATTGCAAACACCCTGAACACCGAGGATCTTTCCTCATAAAGCCCGTCGGTAGCCGTCATCATGGACCCATCCGGTCCGCGCAGGGCCATGCCAGCTCCGAGTACCGATAGYGTCGTCGTTTGGCTGACAACAATCATATTGGAGCAGAACGCGCCTACGATAGTAATATAATACATAAATTTCAAGAACCTAACCACTAGGATCATGTCTTCTCCCTTTCCATTGACGTAATTGCAAAGAAAGAAATCATATTCAATACGTACCGGTGGTATAGTTTACGTCGTAAAGTAGTCGAGCAAGCGTGAACAAAGATCGTTTCAGCGTTGCAAACCACCGGAATTGAAATTGAGATAATGCAAATGCGAATCCAATTCCAATATCCACCGACGTGAATTTATTCATTTGTTGATGCATCGGATGGTTTGAAGAAAAGAGAAATTAGTTTCGTCAAGGGTAATTTTGTAGAGAATAGAATCCAGTTTAGAAAAGCATGATACGTACCCACGTGGAAGTCGGGGGAGGATTGAATTCAATGAACATCGTAATGTCAAGTCCTGCCAAGACAGCCGCAATGGTCCCCACAGTTGCTACAAAACAAATGAATATTGAACGATTTGGGAAAGGCATTGTTCAAAGAGTTGAGGTGAGACTGATGTCGGGACAAYCAATTCGGTATCGTAGGACAATGCAAAGTCTGCAGTTGAGGTATCGCGCTCTATCACTCACTCATATTGGAATGGTGTAAATTRAATTCTTTTTCTTTCAGAGCGGTCGCTTGTTGCTTCAAAGCGCTCTGCAGCTGTAGTTTGTCGGCAGCCAACATTATCTACCGTATTATGYCTGATATGTATCGATATGTAAGAGGTGCAGATTGTTTGGTTTTCTTCGACGCAATTTACGATAGAAAGGATCAGGTACAACAAATCGAACTACCGTCGTCAATCAATCACTTTTCCCGAGTTGGAAATTCGAACCACGGATAAAAAGGAGGAATGTGCGGAGAAGTTATGTCGATCCAATGCACATGTACCGAGTACAAAACTTTTGTATTTCTGTTCCAATCCTCTTGTGTAGACTAGAGACGATATTCCTGGCGACAATAGCTGTGTTCTGGTGACGAAGACCCTCCGTTCTGTAGTCGTCAATGCCGCTCGAAAGTCTTTAGTTGCCAATACGATGGTTCATGGTTCGGTATTGCATCACAAACTTCATGTCTACTTAAACCGTACGTACGGGTGGTACGTACGGTAGTGACCCGATGGTGTCATGATTCATTTTCACAAGTTCACAAGTTCAAAAAATTAAAAAATCGCCTCACCAGCTACTCGTTATCAAACTTACCAATTACCAATGTCGATGGTACGAGTACTCAGGGACAGCTTCTCTCCAGATCCGACGACGCCCATAATATGTTGCATCAAGCCTCATTTTTCAAGTTCCAAACGTCACCATTTCTCTCCATTTCATCCGATAAGGCTACTTACGTGACAGTCCATGACATCCAATTTTTGTAGCAGGCTTCCTGTCCTTGTAGCATCCTCGAACTAGTGATACAAAACAAGTCTGGTGGATAGCAATCYTCTTCTTACTTTATACAGTGGCCTTAAGTACAACCCTTCTTTAATTTATTCTTACTATTTCTAGAGGCATGGTGGGTGGTGCATGCCGATATTTTTGTCGCTACTTTTCTATATTSAAAGCTCTGTCCATAGATTACTTAGTTCACGATTTGGATGGCATTTCCAAACCGAATAACAGCAAATTCCTCTGCTTTCTTCATCGCTTCGTTCGCAACGTCATCTCCCGCAGCTTCAACAAGTGCTTCGCGCAAACATGACTTCTCTATGTCTTGCTGCGCGACCAACGCAAGCAACTCTTCGTGCTCTTGCAAAGTTTCGCTATACATCATCCTTTCCTCTTTGATTTCTTGTTTTTGTTTCTGGATAAAATCGAACAATTCAGAGCTGCTAGGAAGTTCAACCTCGGGGTTATCAGTTGCAACGCCATTTAGTGAAGATTGCAATAAGCCATTAGAGAGCATTTTTCTATCCTCGAGAACCATGGTTGGGAACCTCATTTTGGATATTTCGGACTGAACGGCATGCTCAGTGCGGGTATCTCTGTCAAATTTAAAAGCTTTAGCCTGCGCCCTACGACATTCGTCGGTCAAGACATCGATTATTTCTTTTGATTTTGATGCCTCTTCGGCCAAAGCTAGTTTCAGCTTGTCGTTGTCTTGTTTCAATGTTTCAAGAGAAGCTCTTAAATCGTTAACTTCGTCTGTCATCSAATCATTTATCGGTACTAGAATCTTATCATCTTCTTCGCCCTTCTGTGATTGCCCCAAATCTTCTTTAAGTTCCTTCAGAGCTGTCTCTGCTGAGAGGCGGAGCTCGCGTTCTAGTATCACATCCAACTCGCTGCTGGCTGCTTGAGCCGAAAGGAGTTCACGAAGTCTTCGCTCCGCCTTGCATTTGTCCTCAGCAGCTACAGTTAGAAGCTGAGCATTTTCAATGCGCAACTTCGCACATTCTGAGTAGATATCTGCATGCTGTTGTGTTTTGCCGCTCTCTTCTCCCTCTGTAGACACAAGCAATGAGGCATTTGTCTTCTCGGCTTCCTTCAGTTGATGAGCTATCATATCCTTTGCCATTGTGATTTGTACAAGTTCCTTTCTCAAGTCTTCTAACTCATTCGCTTGGTACTTTCGCACAACAGCATTTTCATTTTCTAGTGCTCCAATTCTGTACTCGAGCGATGCCCGTTTACTATCCTCTGTCTGTCGAWATTCTTCCATCGCCTCGCTTAGGAAATTTACTTCAGACTTGGCAGCAATAATCTCTTGTTCGTACATAGAAATCTGAAGTCTCATTTTTGATATTGTATCATTTGAGTCTTTCTCTGCCGTGCGAGTTAGCTCGAGTTCTTCCAGGGCTCGAAATAATGATTTTCTCAATTCATCAATCTCTGTGTGTTCAATCTTCTGTAGCTTCTCGATGGACTTCGTTGTGAGCTTCTTTAGATCTGCAGGACGGTTTTCGATTTCAGAAAGAGAAAGAAGGGCGGTAATATCTTCACGCAGACGATCTATCTCTAGATTTGCAACTTCTTTTGCGGCTTTCTCATCTTCAAACTTTTGTTGATATTCAATGAGCTGGTTTTTCAAATTCTTWATATCATCCCGGATGGCACTGGCTGCAACCTCGGTCGCTCTATCTGTCAAACCATCAGTGACACAAGCTTGTAGAGTAGCGTTTGCTTCGCGCAACTCATCTTCCAGTTGAGCGACAACACCTATGAGTCTGTTGCGTTCCTCCTCGAGCTTGTCGTTCAACTTCAGAGACAGCTGCTTTTTCAACTGATTCTGCTCTGATTTCATATTTTTCAATAATCCTTCATTTGTGCACATTTTACGGTTGAGATTGAAGTTTTCCTTWACAAGATTCTCAGCGGCAACAAATAAATCCACATGTCTGTCTGCATCCGCATCAAGAAGAATCTCTTCGAGGCGCAGGATTTTGTCTTCAGCAAGGTCAAGTTCCTTCTCGAGCTCGTCGGCTTTCGTTTCCCAGCTTGAAATGGCCTCGATTGCTTCCTTTTCTTGCCCTACCAATCGCTCCTGTGCCCCTTCCGCAGCGGCTTCAAGTTCACTRCACCTCTCTGTTTTGATATTAAGCATGATTCGAAAACAAGATGAGATGTTRGACWAAAGTAACATAAGAGCGAGTGGAATTGACAGGTGAATACGTACGAGACCATTGCTCCAATTGAATTTTTCTTTCTTCTAGATCAGACGACAGAGTTTCGATTTCGTCCCTTGCTTTTGCACTTTTCTCTTGCTGTAATTTTAGTTCAGCCTGAAGTTGTGTGCGTTCATCCACGAAATCCTTCTTTTGATGTGCAAGCAACTCTGCTAGTCCTGACGCCTCCGTTTTGGCGTCAATTAAATCACTTGTCAATGAGGATTCAATTTTTTCAGAGGCCATTCTCAAGTTCTTGATTTGTAGCCAATAGTTGTCATTGGACGACTTAAGTTGCTCTATGGACCAATTACGAGCCGTTATCGTTTCTAAGCTTTGTTGGTAATTATTCTCCATGTCTGTACACTTTGTTTCGAGATCACAACAGGTCTTTTGCCATTGTTCGATGGCATCGACTGCCTCTTGCTCTTGCTCTCTCAATTGTTCTTCTAATGCCGCGATAGACTCAGACAGAGCTTCTGTCCTGTCTTCCCACTTTTGGATGATTTTGTTTTCGTCAGAAAGACAAATTCGAAGCTCTTGCAGCTCGGCACTTTTGGCATCAGCGTCWGCAAGATTTTCTCTCAGATTGGAATTCTCCTTTTCCATAACTTCGAATTTCTCCTCTGATCGTTTCAGTGCCTCGGCGAATTCGGTTTTTCTATTCGAAAGTTCTTCACATAAAGAGTCGATACGTAGATTAAGTTCCATTATCTGGCCTGTGTAACATGAAAGAGATGCGGGAATACGAGAGACTGTTTAGCTGACAATGTACCTCGMGAGTCGTATGAGCCCAAAGTTCAGTGTTTTCTTAATCATACCTTCATATTGTTCCGATTTTTCATTGTAAACTTGCTGGAACTCTTCCTTCGCAYTCTCTGCTGCTTCGATGCCCTGCTCAAGTTGGGAACGTTTTTCCTCGGCCAGCAACATTTGATCTAGATGGCGGGTTGATTTGAGATGATGAGTGTTCAATAGTAATGCAACGCTTTGAGACAAACACAAAATAGGATTTTACAACATACCTTTCAGTTTTTCGATAGAATTGCTACTTGACTCAACTTCTTGATGTAATCGTTGAAGCTCTTCTTCCTTCTGTGCAAGCAACTCTGCCATATCATTACTAAGAGTTTGAACCTTATCATCATTCCCATTCAGGCCATCTTGGGAATCTTTTGCAGCCTTCAAGTCA